GCACACATAAGACTCCACTTTATTTTGATTGTATTTTTGGTGTCTAACATTTGTACCGAACACGTTTGTAATACAATTATTATCTTAATGCAATGGAAGTTGTTACTTGTCTTTACTATTATGCTTTGTTATGATACTGTACATGACGTCCTCCACCCCAGAACGTATTCCGCCGTTCTCGGTTTTGGGGTGTGACAGTGTTCTGAACAAAAGATCAAAGAAAATTGAAGAAAGCTACTATGTTACGCTTGATGACAATTACATGAGGAAATATCAAAAAGAAGATTGTCAATCTGAGGAAAATTTTCCATTAACAAATTCTAAGACTGTTCCTCTTATGAATTTATATGAGGATTTTCTAAATTTGTTTGATGAACCTGAAAAGGCAATTTCCTCATAATCGAATGCCAAGGATAATAATGAGGATGAATTAATAAAGATTGTTGATAAACCTGTTGAAGAAATTAAGACTCCGAACGAGTAACCTATTTTGAATGTTGTTGAAATCCCAACTCAATGATATTCCGATCCACGGGAGAGTTCCACTCCAAACTTCATGGAACAGATGAAAATGCACAAATGACTGAGTCTGAAATAGAAGAAAGAAAGAAAAGAGACAGAGCTTGATGAACTCAATGCTCTCAGACGAAAATTTGAAGCTGAAGATGCTGATGTCAAAAACTCTGCATTGATTCTTGAAACTCAGAAGACTTTGTTCCCTACCTGGTCCATTGAGAGGATTCAGAACGAAGCAATTGACGAACCAAATCTCTAGTGGTTGGAGCCAACCACTTCTTTTGACACAAATAACGACATAGAGTGTCAGTTGGACTTCCTCATGACTCCAAGGGCATTTCTTTTCCGATGCTTCGAAAAGATTGAGAAAGCCTTAATCTTAAACACTGGTGTAAATAGGAAGTTGTTCTCTTTTTATCTAAAGTATACCAAACCACAATATAAGTCGTGGAATCTGAAACAAATTATGGGGTTAAAGGTTGGCTTTCCTGTCCAAACTAAAGACTTTCTGAACATCCAATTCAAGGGGTCCCGAGGTGCAAATCATGTGCTTCATGAATTCACTTTGGCTGACCTGCCTTTCATAAATCCTAATGATTGGATCTTAATGTTTAACATTATGGCGAAGAATGTGAAGAAATATGAGCCCATCTTTGAACAATTAAAGTGAATGATCAAGTGTTATATCATAGAAATTGCGAAGATGGATATTGAGTTGTTCTGAAGAAGAAACCTATTATGAAGCTATCTGATCAACCAGAAGATATTCAACATCTGAAGGGAGGACTTATTTTCAAAAAGCATTGGAGTATAGTATACAAGGTGAAGGAAGGTGATGAAATTAAGAAGTGTATGTTCTATTTGAGGGATAAGAATTTGTACTCTACAAGTGCTCTGAACTCCATCTCTCAAGCGCTGAAGCAAACAAGACAAACACAGCTGCGGATTTTAAATGCGTGTCGATATGATTCGTGGGTATATAGCTATCCGGACATCCCTTCTGAAGATAATGCCCAATATTTTTGATTCCGAAAGACAACCATGAAGACCTCCTTTCGATTTGACACAAAGGGGGATATTGTTAACTATATTTTAATGTTATGTCAAATGTTAGTTTCAGATTTATTGCTTTAATTTTGATTCCGAAATGGGCTGTCCATATTCAGAATTGATGTTGATTTGTTGGAGTCGCGTGTTTGCCGGTGACCGATGTTGGATTTGTTGTTGCATAGTTGTAGGAGGTCAACGGTTGAAAGTGTATGGCGACAAAAGGTTGGCTGACCGAGATGGTTGGGACCGAGATTGGAGCAGTTGTTATTGGTTGTCACGGTGGTAACAGAGCTGCAGACGAAGACCGATGAGAGGTGGTGGACGACTGATGATGGTGGTTACCGACGTCGAGATTCTTGTTGTTGGAGGTCGACAAGTGGTGAAAGAGCGAAATGTGGTGATAGAGGAGCAGCCCCTAGCATGGCGACTGGCGATCGTCGGCGCTTAGGCACACGTCGCCAACAATGACGATACATGAGGAGAAGGAAACAGAGGGCGGCAGAGGGGGCGATCGTTGCTAGTGGAGACAACATTTGTTTCGTTGGAGTTGGAAGTGGATGTCGGTGGTTCAGAGGTTGATGATGGTGACAGAGTAGCAGTCGTGGATCCGCATTCGAAGGTTTGCAGGTGTGTTGGGTGGAGGAAGTAGTCGACCAGTGATGGCGCCGACGAGTAGAGATGAGGTTTGAAGGAGGGAGATGACCAAGGTGGGGCCAAACTCTTCTCAAGTCTTTTTCAGCTGACATTTGAGCCTCTTTGAAACATGTAAGCCCATCGAAATGCTTTTAAGAATTGTCTTTTGTACACTGTACTCAGATGATTCGGCCAACTACTTTTTTTTTGTTGGCTAATAGGACAATAATGTCTTGGTGGGTATATCTAAATGCACGAATTCTTTTCTATCGGTACGAATAAATTGATTGATTTGATTTAATTGCTTTTCACCAAAAGTATATACAGATGGCCCTCCTATTTGCATGATAAGTTCGTTTGCAAACCATGGCTTATATACTTGATTCAAAAGTCTCTTCTATTGTATTGTAATTTCACCGTCTTTATTTCACAAATTTTCTTCAAAGAATTACATGCAATAAATTATTTTTTTATATTTGTCTTGTTTTATAATTTTATCAAACATATAGTATTTTTGTTTCAATAATTTTGAATTTTGGTACTATTTATATTTGTAAATATAATATAATTAGATGTTCGATATCAAATTGAATATGAAATAAAAATGAATCATATTATTTAAACAAATTAACGAGTTGAAATTAACTAGACTCTAATTCAACGAGATTAACAAATAATATTATACATACCGATTCATTTAATAGAAAACTAGGTTACAACCCGTGGAAACCACGGGTAAGAAAAAAAATATATTGATAATTAAAAATGATAATGAAAAAAACTACAAAACTTTATTAAATTATAAAGATATAAGTTTAGTTTAGATTTTTATATTGATTATTTAAATTTTCATTAAAATTATGATTTTATGATTTTAATAAATATGATGCCTGGGTCGACTTGATCTATCAAACAAAAGAAAAACAACTAATATGAAAGGTAAAACAAACCTGAAAAACGATGGTGCCATTAGGGCACATGTTAGCGTCCCATAGGGACCAACTTTACATTCAACCCAAGTGTTTTTTAGCATATGGTATGTTGGGACCATGTTAATGGTTTTTATTTCAGTTAAAATACGTAAAGAACATCAAGTTCCTCTTGCAAAATTAATTATTGAAATGAATCAACGATTTCTTAAATTGATAAGCAATCAAGTGTTATTAAAAAAAAGAGTGACGTTACCGGTCATTCTAAATGAGCATAACATATAATTAGATGTTCGATATCAAATTGAATATGAATATTAAAAAAAAGAGTGACGTTTACCGGTCATAAATGTCTGTCGAGTGTATTAATCTATTCAAATTTGGTTATCAAATTATCTATTTTGTAAAAAAAAGGTTGTGTTCCATCACGATCTGAGGCATGAATGACAACCCTGAAAAAAACTGTATCCAAAAGACCATAAAATAAGACATAAAGTTCTAAGACCACTCAACTTTACTCACATATTAATTACACAATAATGTTACAAGATGCAAACTCTTCATCTTCAAGTGGATATGTAGCTTCACACTCGCAAAACAGAATAACCAAAATATTATCTTTATTTTCTGGTGGAACCATTTCGAGATCTTCATATTCCAATAACGTCACTTTAAGAAAATAACATACATAAAAGGGATGCTCGTGGTTTAGGGATATTCCGAGAGAGGAAAACAACGTCAATCGGTCATTGGTGGCAACTCTTGGTAGAAGCAATAGAGGAAAACACCTTCGTTATATGGGGAGAACCCGATCACATACACACACAATCAAAGAGATGGTATAAAAACAAACATGGTTGTAGAGAGAGAGAGAGAGAGAGAGAGAGAGAGAGAGAGAGAGATGCAATTTGTGTTTGGTGGAACAATTCAACCAAGAAGTAAGTAGAAGAATAGACCCCCCAAATAATTAAAAAGGAGAATTCAAAAATTGTGGCTGAAAACATCCCTAATCAAGAATATCAAATGGAAAAGTTTCAGCTTCATAAATTGGAGAGATTTAGAAGGTAAGCATCAACAAAATCCTTGATTTTTTTTGCTGATATATCGACTTTAATTTGAAAGTTTGATGTTATATGATATGAAAGGAAAAATTGGAATCAGTTGCCTCCTAATGTCACGGGATTGCATTCAAATGGGTTGTTAATATATATGCAGGATATATATGTAATTGTTAAAAATGAGAGGAGGGTATTATAAGAATTTAACTTTGAAAAACAATGGGTTGAGAAAATGACAGGTGGCATGATATGGGTTTTTTATTAAGGTAGAGATGACCATCATAATTATTATTATTTTTTAAAATTATAATAAAATAAAAAATATCCAAATAATCATTATTTTTGCAAGAACCATCTGCGAAAATCTGGTTGATCACTTTGAAAAAATGATTTCAGTTTTAGATTTCACGGTCTATTACTACGTTGAATGCGAAAAAGTTTTTTTAGACTTTTATATTTCATTTTTGTGATTGAGGGAACCCAAATGTTATGATGATTGTAATGAAATTCGTATGTGAAAGCTATTAACTATTTCTTTTTCATAATTTCAACCGAATAACCTACTTTTGAGCTAAAGAGTATAACTTTCCGACATCTAAATTGTAAGTGTAATATATCTATGGAAGAAGTTTGTTACAAAGAGCAAAATGAAAAAAAAAAGTTCTGCTTAAATGGAGTTCGTTTTTATAACTATTTTATGATAAAACCTTTAAAAATAGCTATTATGTTCATTTTCTCTTTATTTAATTAATTAGATTGAAAAAATAATTTGTTTCGAAAAATATTGACCTGAAAAAACTTCTCTATTTCACAATATATTATATTATGTGGTATTCATGTTAAAAATTTACATATTTTATAAAGGGCGTTGCTTTACATACATCCCTTTATAGTCGGAACGAAAAAAATAATATATTGACAGTCTCAATGAAAAAATAAGACATGAATAGTCGGAATAGAAAAATAATACGGAGATATTCATAACGAAAACATAACACAATAATAGTTTATACGACAAAATAAAACATTGACAGTCCGAACGAAAAAAATAACATGTTATAATCCGACCGAAAAAAAAAACAACACAAGAATAGTCGGAACAAAAAAAATAACATAAGACTGTTTCGAACTAAAGAATAATATACCGATAGTCCTAACGACAAATTAACATAGTAATAGTCCGAATAAAAAAAATAACACAAAAATATTTCGAATGAAGAAAAAAAAATTAATGTTAATAATAATATATATTTAATAACAATAATAATAATAATAATAATAATAATAACTAAAGGACAAAAACTTTAAGTCAATAAGTTAAACATATCAATTTAGGAGGATATACGAAGAATTCCCCTTTATAAAAATGACATAAACAAAACTTAATTTATAACAATATAAATAATATAGATGGGATAGTTCAAATAAAAACAGTAAATTGTGTGAGAACGTAAAAACATTATTTTTATGTTATTATTCTGCAATTAGTTTTGTATCCACAACTTTATATCATTATTCGATAATGAATAAATGAATAGTCACAGGTTAAAACTAAAGTTAAAATTTATTACAAAAATGACATACATAAATTTATAATATAATAATTACATTCCAATGAATATATGAATAATTAAACGTTAATATTCATATTAGAATTACTTGAACAATACACATATACAACATTCATTATAGAATAATAACATAAACATAGTGTTTTTACGTTCTCGTACTATTTACTGTTTTTATTTGAACTTACTTCAATAGAGCTAGGTTCATTTGTTTAAACTAATTATTGTGTTATTTATTGTATGCATAAATGTGGGCCAATCAAAATTTAAAATAAAAATAAATAATTAAATAAATCAATGAGGGTTATTTAGTAATTTAATAAATGAATTCTATAAATAGTCCCTTTATTTTAGGGATCCGTTTATTATTAACTTATTAAAATCCACCTACACCGTAATAGGATCACACCGGTGAACTAAATCCTAAATCCGCCTCTTTCTTCCTCTCTGCGTCGTAGGTCACTTTCCTCATTGTCTCCATCACCGATTAATCGTTCTCCTCAGCACTACTTCTTCCGCCCAATACCATTTACAGTTTCTGATGAAAATCAATGGCAGTTGCTCAATCTTCGTCGATCAATGAATCATACTCGCCTCTCCCCTATCTTTACGCCGCCACCACTCAAGCTGCATCTCCCGCAGTCTTTCCCCCAAAAAAACCCTAGAATTCCCACTCCGAACCCCCAAACTCTCCCACCGATCGACATTTCTCCGCCTTGTTGCTGCCATCGCCGAGGGGAAGGTTGTAGAGCTAGGCGATGAAATTTCAAACCTAACCCTTGCAGATGCACAAAAGCTAGTTGAGTACCTCCAAGACAAGCTTGGAGTCACCCCGCCTCCTTTGCTCCTGTTGCGGTTGTTGCCGCACCTGCTACCGTGGAGGAGAAGACGGAGTTCGATGTTGTGATTGATGAGGTTCCTAGTAACGCGAGGATTGCGATGATTAAAGCCGTTAGAGCTTTGACGAGTCTGGCGCTTAAGGAGGCCAAAGAGCTTATTGAAGGACTTCCGAAGAAATTCAAGGAAGGAATATCGTGAGATGAAGCAGAAGAGGCTAAGAAACAACTTGAAGGAGCTGGCGCAAAAATTTTGATTGTTTAGATCACGAATTTGTGGTAACTTTTTCTTTTTCATATTTGCCTAATGCAATGTGTTATTAGTTCTTCAGTTTTGTAGTTGAAATTTATCATATTACGATTTCATGCCTTAATTTACTCTCGATACTATCTTCATTTTCTCTGTTAAATCCGATGATGTTAAATATTAATACCTCCTGTAACTGATTTATCAGAAGCTTTTGCTATATGTTCTTACGATTCTCCAAAGTATCTATTATGATGAACATTACGAGATAGCAAAAAAAAAATATATGTGTGTATCTCCGAAGTTGTGGTTGCTTCATTTGACAGAAAAGAGTAGGAAGAACAATGGTGATGATCTCTTCTTTGATTGGGTATGTTTCTTTTGATTGGGTTTTACAAGTTAAATAGATAAAAAAAATCAATTATTTGGGTGATCTTATTGTATAGTTGTGAATTTTGATAGATATGGAGTACAT